CTATATCTATCGGCAGTCCCAGAGTCATGCCCTTGGGGTCTTTCAAAAGAAGTATTCACAGGCTTTGTTTTACCCAAACCAGTACTTCTATTCTAGGAATTCAATTATCTTGGGAAGTCTTTAATATTAGCTCTTTGGCAATAGAAAAATGTCCTTCCCTTTTGGACACTAAATCAGTCCATTCACATGATAAGGAATTCAGCCTTCTTGCTTATACAAAATTGATGGAAGTTGTAATGGAAAGGATACAACCTCCCCTTACATGGAGTGAATGTACATGGACTCAAGAGTTCCTGAGTTTATTTACCCAAGCCTCTTTTAGCAGCCTATTACCACTGTCCTGTGCAAAGTTGTAAATCCTAAGTTGGGGTGTGGGTGGGGGTGGGGACAGTTAGTGGTGGGGTGTCTGAGCCTCCAGAGACCTTGGAGTCATCAACCTGCATCTCTGACCACTCTGGTCTCCTTGGGCTCTTCACTGCCTCAGACCCCACATCCACTGCAAATTCTGTGCCTTCTGATTAAAGTTCTTTGTACCTCCACCTAACCCTCTTCTGGTTAAATTCTCTCTACAACTGTGTGTGTGGGGTGGGGGTGGGGTAGTATACTATACTCCTATAGGATGGAGGCTGTGCTAAGACAAGACTTTTAGTATCATTACTTCAAAACTTGATTCCTTTCCAGTATAGTCTCACTTCAGTCCAGAAGTGTACTCTCATTGCTGTGGTTCTTCATTAAGGAGTTTGCATTTAAGGAGAGTCTGCATTGACTGATCAAGGCAGAACTTGGCCTGAACCACAGTTCCTGAAAACACACACACACACACACACACACACACACACACACACACACGTGCGCGCGCGCACAAGGACTAGGTTGGGGTGGGGATGTGTAGAGCAAACTGCAATACTGTCAGTCTGCTGCAAAAGTCAGGGCCAGTGCTTAATTTCAGGCTTGTCTTTCATCTCTTTATGGTAAGGGAGAAAGAACAGGAGTGATTCACCACCCCAAATTTTCAGGATTTGCAGGCCACTGCTCAGGCTTCTATATCTGGTTTTTTAAACAGCACAATCCAAACATGTCATTTTGGCCGGAGTTTTCCTTCAACACCCTCCTTTAGCACCTGAGTGAGAATTATTGGTTATGAAAAACATGAATTAATAAATTAAAAATAAATGTTAAAATAGCATTTATCTCTGTTCAAAGAAACTCAGAATAACTCTGAGGAGAGACTGCAGAATCAAATTACAGTACCATCTTCCTGAACATCTGAAAATGAATAAACAAAGAAAGAAAACACAGCTGACTGGGCACTGAGTGGTAAATTAAAGGCAATTCAAAACTAGGCAAAGCAAGTGCATTTGAGAGGTGGCAGAAGTCAATTCTTTCTCTCGTATAAATGTTTGCATTCTCACTCAAACCCAAAACTGATACTCCTGGTTTCAGTAAGCAGAGAACAACAAAGGTCAAAGGATGCCTGAACATCTGAACCAGCAGGTGATGTGTACACATGCCTCTGGGCACCTGTCATCTCTACCAATGACTTTAGTCCCACTGTACACAAATTATGAGGAAGAGTTTTATGCAACCAACTGTTGCAAAGATCTTAGATGGACATGCTCTAATTAATCCCTGGACCACTGCTTGGTATTTCTTGCTGAAGCTGAGTTGCTAAGCAGCAAAAATTGAGAAATATCTCCTGCAGCTAAAAAGAAAATCATCAATAGTTGTCTCCATGCCCAGCCCCTCCACTGCATGGTTTATGACTATGGGCCAAGAGTAGTGTTAATGCTCATCTTAAAACATGCCATAGAAAGATTTTACCTCTTCACGTGACCAATTGATAGAAGCATCTATAACCAGGCATTAGTGTGTTTGGCAGGGCTGGATGGTTGTGATGGAGTCACAGGGATTATATATATATATATGTATATATATATATATACACACACACATATATATGAATATATATATACACATATATATATATAGGCATGTAGATAACTATTGATTGTTTATCTTTTAGCTGCAGGGACTTCTTAATTCTTAATGTTTAGCAACTCAGCTTCAACATGAAATCCATATATATTATATATACATATACATAGATATATATCTCAAGTTAGGTATTAAACAGGAAAGAATACCATCTTAAATCGTCCACTGTCAGTGAGCTCAATTCTCCAATGGTATTGAGAAAGCCAAGGATATAGCTGGGAAGAATTCAAAATATACAGTCTTCCTTGGCACTTCTTTCAGTGGGAAACTGAGGCCTAAGGATGTTAAATCATAGCTTAAGCGGAGAGTTCAGCCAAGGTCCCCTATCTCCCATAGATTTTTCAGTCTATCACCTAAGGCTTCCCTTCCTTGCCTTCAACAATTATCAGTTAAGTTTAAGTAAAGTAAAGTAAAAAGTAAAGGCCCTCCCGTTGATCGTCGATTTGCTCGAGCGGGCCCAGTAACATCTCCATTGGAGACTTTGTTGTTACTGTGTTTGGCATATCGAATACTCTCGGTAGCTTGCTGGGCTCTCCAAGAGGGGCAGAGGAATCGAACTCGGGTCGGCCATGTTGGCCGCTTGTAAGGCGAACGCCCTACAATTTCTCAATAGTCACCCAACAGGAAATGTAGTTACAATTACTTGTTTGGACCATTGGCTTATCACAGTGTGCTCTGTGGAGGTCACATAAATAAAAAGGACACAGTTCCCACCTATGCCAGGGAAAAGGGTTATTTTGCATCATCTTTAGTGGTATGGATCCTTTGCCCCCTGCTAGCAGCCTGGATGGTCCTGCAGCTCAGTGCAATATTATTTGCCAGGTGTTCACTTTGCCTGTCATGCATTGCCAGGAACTGGAGAACAAAGAAACAAAGCCTGATAAGAAGCTATGTACTTTAAAGCCTGATAAGAAGCTAGGTACTCACAATGCCCACAGAAATCCATAGCACTGACTTACTCCAGTTTCCCAAGATAGCTCAACATGGTACTGATAAGTTAAGGATAGTTGATGTCTGTATGCTGGCATTCATGCATTGTATGTGTTCCCATGCACTCATGTTTGGGGACATAACAGGATGATGTGCCTTTATCATATCTCTACTATGTAATACAGACTGGCTACACACAGATGAAGGTATACCCCCGTCTTTTGCCTATTATATAACCCCTAAAGACCTGTCATTCCACTAAAACCATCCAGCCCTGCCAGACACACTAATGCCTGCTTACAGATAGTTCTGCTACTTGGTCATGTGAAGGAATATGTCTCCAAAGGCAGTTTAGGCAAAATTGGGTCTTTGTTTCATTAATAAAGGGAAATAAACTGTCTGGCACTATTAAAAGGGGGACATGAGACGTCACCCCGAAAAGATGTGTGCTGGCACACCTCCAGAATTTATAGGTCACAAAGAAGAAGGACTCTGGGTAGCAGGTTTTTGCCGGAAGCATGCAAAGTGGTGTCCAGGACAAAACTCAGCTCTACCACCTGATCCCTGCACACCAGGCATCCACTCCCACAGAAAACTCTGGCGTGGAATTGAATGCTCGAGGAAAGTGTTTTCCCTGCTGTCTCTGGCTCTCAGTGGCAGGGGAATCTCTCTCCAGGCCTTCCCTAACCACCCTGCCTCTACCGAAGCCTCCCAGCTATCATTCCACCTACTTACCAGGCAGACCTGTCAGCACTGACCTTGGGGTTGACAGCTGACTGAACGGGACTGTTTGTCTTGAAACCCTGATGATCTCTGCATGACTGAGGGCTCTGGGGAACTTAAGGGCTCTTATTCCAATTGTCCTGCTCCTCTCTCACCATGAGGACTTAGCAGCCAAACATACCTCTGCTAAGCCAGGTAGGGTCTCCCTCTTAGAATTTTAAGAGCATTTTTAAACTCCAGTTTCCATGATCAGCAATCAAGTACTTTTCCCTTTTGCAAGTATTTCCTTCCACCCTCTACTTTTGGCAGACAACACTATGGTAGTTCCTTGTAAACTGGCTCTTTCCTTTTGGAAAGGCCTTTTACACCTGATTTAGACTCAGGAAAAAGTTACAGATTTTTACTGTGTTCAACCTGGATATACTTATTATTTACACCAGCCCAATGCTTTACTGAATTGAACTTGTTTTGATTTTTAAATAATGAGTAACAGCTGCCTCCTCTCTCTAAAATAGAGGCTGATTATCACCTCTATTCCCTGATCTTTTCTCTCCCCCAGCTCTGTTCTCCCACTTATACCATGACATAAACTGCTACATTAATGAGATCTCTGGCCCACACACCAATAGGCTGGGGAAATAAATCTGTCTTTAAAAAAATATTACTAACCTGGTTTTAAGTTTTGTAGCAAACCTCACATCATATCATGTCTTTTCAAATATTTGGTACTTGCAGAAAGGTTGCTAAGGAGAAGCAGCAGGGAAAGAACAACTCAGGAGAAGCAGGATCAGTCACTCTTATTCTAGCAGGCCGGAGTTGGGGGTCACAGATCTCGTGCCCTAGGAAGGACTGTGTGAATTACAAATAGTGAAAAGTCCCAGGAACAGAAGCAAAGGGCATGTGCTTGCAAGCATCATCTTTCTTCTTTTCTCTTTCCATTTCTATTATGTTCCTACCACAAAGCCCAAGTCGGCTGAGAGCAAGGAGGCTGGCAGCCTCCAACCTCTAAATAACCCTATCCCAATTAGATCTGCTGGAGCAAGAAGCCACATGCAAATGGCCAGCCCTGCTTCTCTCCTCTGGGCACAATAGAACAGCCAGAAGTTCAGGACTGATGAACATCCCAGGCAGTTCTTAATTTAAAGGAGTTCTTGCCATCCTGCCTGGAGATGTCCTTCTGAACGACTGTCCTGGGGAGAAGGGGACACAGGAGCCACAGTGCTCTGGGCTGGCACACAGACTATAGAAGGAAGAAAAGGGGAGTTGCCTGTTGTGGGAACCATCGGTGATTCTAGGTGAGCATTCAGGAGAGGCAGCGTGCTGGGGAGGGTCACCGTGCGGTGAAGAGCTTCTCAGAAGGCTGTGCTCCTGGTGAGGGGGATCTGCTTTCGGCTTGCTTCTGGTGCCATGGGCTTTTGCTGGCAGGGAACTGGGGGGCACATGCGCCCTGTCGCACCTCTGCTTTTGAAAGCTGTGGCGTGGTAGTCCAGGGGCTCCTCCTCCATGCCTCCGCCCTCCTCCAGGAAGCAGCAGCTGCGCAGGCACAGAACCCGCTGGAAGGAGCGGCGGAAGTTGTCAGAGAGGAAACCGTAGAGGATGGGGTTGGCGCAGCTGTTGGCGTAGCTGAGGATGAGGGACACATGGTTGACGACGGCGTTCAGACTGGTCACGAACAGGTTCAGCAGCTGCACCACGTAGAAGGGCATCCAGCAGAGCACAAAGACTGCCACTACAGTCAGCACCAGCCGCGTGATCTTCCTCTCTGAGCGCCGCCGCTGCTGCCAGCCTGCGCGCCGGGCCACGGCCCGCATCTTGCCCACGATGAGCAGGTGGCACAGGCCGATGGCCAGGACGGGCAGTAGGAAGCCCAGCAGGAAGGTATAGACCACGAAGGCCGTGGACCAGGCCGGGTGCGGCCAGTGCAGGTTGCAGGCCACGGCCTGGCCGCCCCGCGTCGGCCGGGTGTCCGCGAAGACGGCGATGGGCAGAGTGACCAGCGAGGACGCCAGCCACACGCCCAGGCTGACGAGCTTGGCCACCCGGGGCCTCCGATAGGTGGCGGCGCGCAGTGGGCGCACCACGGCCACGTAGCGGTCCACGCTGAGCACCGTGAGGCCGAAGACGCTGGTGAACATGTTCAGGCCGTCCACGCCGAGCACCGCGCGGCACAGCACCGGCCCAAAGGGCCAGTGGCGCAGCGCGGCCGCCGACGCCACGAAGGGCACGCCGAGCAGGAAGAGCGCGTCCGCCACCGCCAGGTTGAGCAGGTAGATGTTGGTGGCCGTCTTCATCTTGGCGTAGCGCAGGATCACGAAGATGACCAGGGCGTTTCCCACCAGACCCACGAGGCACACCAGCGCGTAGACGCACTGGATGGCGATCATGCCCGCCGACCCCGCGCCCCCCTCGTCCCGCGGGGCCAGGCTGGCGTTGGCCTCCTCAGGCCAGGCCGTGGGCAGCCCCGCCTCGGCCCCTGGGGCCAGCGTCTGTGCAGCGCTCATGGCCCGCGCGGAGCGGAGCGCGCAGCGGCGCAGATGCGCGCCCTCGCCGGCGCCGCAGCCCGCGCGCCCGCCCCGAGGCGGCCGAGAACGCCCGCGGGGGCGCGCCGCCCCTCGCCCCTCAGAGTTCTGGAGATGGGTGCCCGGGGGGCGCGGTAGCCCGCTTCGTTTTCCCGCCTCCGCCGCCTTCTCCGCCCGGGACGACGTCGGGCGCCCCCGCCCCGCCAGAAGACCGAGCTCCGGCTAGCTAGCTTCCTCCCCACGCGCGTCTTTCGGGTCGCACCCAATTCTCCACCCTCCGCCGACCACTTGCCTTCTTCCTTCCGGCAGATCCCCAGCCACGGGGGCAGGGATTGCAGTTACAGAGTCGTGCGTTTTGGAGAGGCACCAGGCAAATGCTGGCTAATAAGAGCGCACAGCCTCCAGCAAGGCGCTTGGCCGGCTTCCCGCGCCACCTCTGAAACCTGGCCGCATCCGTTCCCTCCCCAGCTTCAGTCTACAGGAGCAGAACCCGAGATTCCTCCAGGCTCGCGCAGAGCTCCAGAGCCTGGACTCTGAGACTCTTCCAGGCGTTGCGCTCGCGGAGCTACAGGTCCCGGAGTCTGAGACTCCTCCAGGCTCTCGCAGAGCTCCACATCCCTCCCTGAACCCCATCACCTGCGGATCGGGAGTTTTTCCAGCTGGATTTCGGCATGGTTAAGGTGGCGCAGGCCCAGGGAAGGCAGGTGGATGTGCTCAGGCGGCTGCCATAAAGAAGACGCCTCTCAGTAGGGCAGGGGTATGGATGGCTGCCGGCACTGGACCCGGGGGCCTGGGACTTTTTGCTGACTCTGCCTCACTTGACAAGTCTCAGCTCCAGTCTCTGCCGAGGGAGTGGTGACTGGGAAGGCTGAGCATCCTCCCTGCTTTCCCTCTACCCCACACTTGAATGTGGGCTCATTCATGCCTTTGCCCTTCCCGATCTAGGCATAAACTGGACACCCAGCAGGCAACCCCGTCTGGCCTTAACTGGTCATTGTGTCCAGGCTAATCCGAGTCCCCAGCACATCCCCCACAGTCCCAGCAAACTTTCAGAGCATATGGAAGTGACTTCTAGGTCTGTGATAGGCGTTCAGCTCCCTTGTAGATGGCCCCCAGTATGCTTGAAACCAACCAGAAGTGACCTTTCAGGGGTGACTAGAGGTTTTCACATATATTCATTCAGGTTTGTTTGTTTGTTTGTTTAAATGGGGGAAGGCGGCGTGTGTATAGGTGTGAGTGACAATTGTGCACCACAGTAGCTTACCCCACTTGATTTCTGTCATCCAGAGCTATTAACTTATAAGACCGGTCATGGCAGATCTTTATGGCTCTCCACTCTTCATTCTTATCATTCTCTTCATGCTGAAAAGCTCATTCTTATCAGTGGCACATGCAAAATACTTGTATGAGGAAGGGTTTAAGACTTCTGTCATTATAGTGGTGCAGGTGCCAGAAAGAGAGGGGAAGCAGGGATGAGTGGGTGGAAAGGTGAGTGGGGGAAAGTTATTTTCCAACCTGGCCTGGAGAAGAACCTGATAGGCCTCTTCTGAGCACAATGGGTGGTATGTGAGGGCTGTCTTGGGCTGCTGGATTCCTGTCTTCTGTTCTCTGTCCTGTCCTTTCATTCTAGCCTCCTCTCTTCTTTGAAAATGTATTTCCTATAGTCTCACCTGTCCTGCGAACCGTAGAAGTTTTAAACACAATTGTAGGATCCTTTCTTAATGTTTCCTCATGCTCTCCCTTACCCTTTGCACGTAAGCATACTTCACAGCAAATTAAGATAGCATTTAATAAGAAAGATCTGCACCACTGTTTCTCATGATTATTCACAAGAAAACAATTCACAAAATGAGTGTTGGTACATAAAAATAACACTGAGCCAGGGACACTGAGTATTGCATCATTCATTCATTTACTCAATCAATTTATTTTAATAAAGATGTAGGGTCCCTTGCCAACATGACTGCACTTGCTGCTTTGGTTTGAAGTGAGGTGAGGGCTCCAGGAAACTTGCATTTTGACTACTGCCCCAGTAGCAGAGATGATGCCTAGGGCCATGGAGGAAGGGTGGCAGTATTAAGTGCCATGAAAGCCTTCACAGATGTCACAAAGAGCAGATGGGAACTCTGAAAATGAGGATGAAGGTGGCTGACAAAGAGCAGTTGCTGCTGGGGGTCTGAGAATTGAGCAGAGATGTGGCAGCAGTGCTGAGCAGAGGGTAATAATATGGGATCTAAGACTGCTCCACACTAGGGATGCTTTTGTTTCTGCTGGAAACCTATATCCAATATCTGAAACTTCAAAGAGAAGCAGCAAAATATAAAACCCAGGACAGGGATCAGAACTGATGTCTGTGTGGTTCTTTGGATGCTAGCAGAAGATAATAAGATGACTCCAGTTCTAAGACATTTACACAAGGTAACTTTGAGGTTGTTGTGTAGTCAAGAGCTACGTACTTGCATCAGAACTGCAGCATCAAGGAGAGACCAGGGTGCTTGGGTGCATGTTGGGTGCATACAGAGCAGACACCTCAGGAGCCATGTAACTTCATGGCCTTTAAACTAAGTTGCCTGGTTCCAATCTAGCTCCAACTCTCACCAGGTAGATGGTTGAGTGAGTTTAATCCTTGGTTGAATAGTTTTCTAAGTTCTTTGGTGCCATGTTTCTACATATTAAAGTGGGCTTGATGGTAGTGACTAACAGCTTCATCAGGACACACTGAAGGGTCTTCTCTGGGAGGATGACCAACCTTGCCCAACACAGCTCTCTGTGAATGCCAACTATTCTTTATATTCTTCTGTCAATAGCTGTTAAGGGAGCAACCTGAAGGATGAAACTAGAGATGTGGTCCACCAAATCTCATGTGATCCCATATTGTCAGCTACCATCAAAGGATGAAGGTAATAGAATGACTGCATCGTTCTTATCACATGTGTTAGCTGTCTAGAGAATTTTGTTTATGGTGTTTTCTTATTTATCATGTTTAAAACAACAATCCTGAGATATGTGGGGGAAGTATATGAACAAATGGCCAACTTAGAGCAAGCTTTGCTGATACAACCTGACCCTTCTGCCTTGGCCCACATCTTGATGATAGGTTATAGGTAAAGGTAAGGTAAAGGCCCTCCCGTTGATCGTCGATTTGCTCGAGCGGGCCCAGTAACGTCTCCATTGGAGACTTTGTTGTTACTGTGTCTGGCGTATCGAATACTCTCGGTAGCTTGCCGGGCTCTCCGAGAGGGGCGGAGGAATCGAACTCGGGTCGGCCATGTTGGCCGCTTGTAAGGCGAACGCCCTACCCGCTGTGCTATAGCGTTCAAGCTAAATTCTTTGGGGGAGTGAAAGGCAGCTCTGTTAAAAAATTTGTTATAAATCCCAAGTTTTCTTCAAACTAGACCATATGGCTGTTCTAATGGTGGGGGGTGGGCTCTTTCCATTTTTATTTTATTCATTACCACACCAAGTGACTGAGAATATTTTCAATATTTCACTGAGAATATATATATTAAAAGGTCTATAGATAGACCTTTTAAACAGCAGGTTAATTTTAACAGAGCTTGCCATTGCCTATTTTCAGAACAGAGTTTATCAAGGTAAAAAGAACATGTTTGGTATTACCTGGTACTGGTAATACCAGGTACTAAAGGTAAAGTGGATCCAAGGCCTAGAGAAGGTAATAAGACTCAGTTTAGAAACATACTCCTAGTATTTCTATACCTCAGGTGAAATCTGGGAAGTCAAAATGTCAGCCAGCAAAATTCTCTGGAACAACAGTGAATTCTTCAAGAGGTGAGGCCGTGCACACTCACTCACTCTTTACAGTGTCTGTAGGGGAAATGAGTTCCTCCCAACAGAAAAGAACCTCTTCTTACCCCAGTTCTCTACTCTCAATTTCTTCTATGTCTTATACCCCAGACCTAGGTTAGTGGGGATGAAGAATTGGCAGAATACCTTAGTATCTGTCTGTCTGTCTGTCTTTGTAGTGCTAAAATAGGTTCAAGGCTTCATATGTGCAAGGCTTGTGCTCTAACTACACCTCCAGTCTCTCCCTTAGTACTTTTTTTCTTTTGGCTTTTTGAGTTACACTCACAGTGCTCGGTATACTCCTGGCTCTTTGCTTGGGGAATCACTTCTGTCGGTCTTAGGGGGCTAGATTGGTCATGTACAAGGCAAATGCCCTGCCCACTGTACTATCACTCTGACCTCACTTAGCTTTAAAAATCATATACCAATGACTCAATACCAACAGTCATTTCCTCTATCACAGCATTGTCGTACCAAGTTGACCTCAAGACTGAAAGGTGGAGAAATTCAGGTCTGATGTGAAGATTCTTCCCCAGAGTCAAAAAGTCTACATTGCCCAGAATGTAATTATTTGACTCCAAGAATTATTCACTTTGGATGGTTTTATGCAAAATAGAATTCCAAAATTTAATGTTTACAATCGGTAGCCACTAAGTGTACTCTCCTGATTATTTCGTCTAGATGTAAGGAACTCATTCGCATCTTTCTGTTAGGCAAGAACTTCATATCTCCATAGATAATTAGGAAAGGTAGATTTTTTTGATACAGAAAATGCAAGGGAATTACTTTTAACTTGTAACAGTCACTCCTAAATAAATGACAGCAAACATAAGAAATTTCATGGGAAACATACAATATTTTATTTATTTATTTATTTACTTAGTTTGTTTTTTGGACTACACCTGATTCTACCCAGTGCTTACTTCTGGCTGTGTGCTCAGGAGTCACTCTTTGTGGTGCTCAGGGGACTGTATGGGATGCTGGGGATCAAACCTGGGTTGGCAATGTGCAAGGTAAGTACCCCAAACATTGTACTATCCCTCCAGCCTGAGTGCTTATAAAGACACAATAATTCATTGGTGTTCCAAGTGTGTTCACTTGATCACTTGATCACTTGACTTCCCGTTAATCATCGATTTGCTCGAGCGGGCGCCAGTAACATCTACATTTGTCCCTGT